CTAAATGGTAAATATTTCATTTAATAATGAAAACAGTTTAGGTTTAATTATAATGATTAGTTATAAACCAATGGAAATGATTCCATGGCAAAAAATATAAAAACATGGAGATCATAATGCGTTAAAGTTTTCAGTCCGCCGCTCGACATTGACCCGAAAGTTAACGGAGCAGGCGAAGTGATGACGATGTTGAATGTTCCTCCAAGAGTAGTTGGCGCAATGCAATTTGAAAGCCAGGCACGAGAACCGCAAAGAAACAAAACCCGAGCTAAAGAAGCCGTTCAAAGAGGCCCAAACTAGGAGTTGTCAACGGAAAGATTTCAACGACCTCGATCACTAACTCCTCTCGCGTCTAGTGAGAGCGACTAGAAGTGCTAGTCCATGAGCTAGCTCCAAGAAAGAAATCTCACACCAAAAAGCAAACGACGCAAGCTTCCCCTACCAACAACATTGGCTAGTACAAAGCTAGGTAAAGAAATCAAAACACAGCACCGAGAGCGATGATCTTACTAGCTCCCCTAAAGCTCAAGTCATGTCCTACGATCCTCAACACATAACCAACCACCTACCTAAAGCAGCATAACCACTAAAGAAAGACACAACCAACAACAGGTCTCGCCCAACCATCCACACCAGAAGTACAATGATGTAGTCCAAAGAATAGCTACTAGCTACTATCGGAAGCTTTGCTCGGTCTAATACTACAACAGTGCAAGAAACACGGGCAGAAAAAAAGCTCTACTAAGACGGTACCTCACACACGTGCTGCCACAACGACCATCGAACTGAAGGAGAGACTGCTGTCCACAGAATAACCAACACAAGCAAAGCCATAACAACGAGCCTTATCGCCTAAAGAAGAGCCAACAACCGCAAACACCCTGACTTCTATGATTTGCATCAAAACCAAAGGGATGTGACTAAGAGATCGAGGCCCCAAAGTTAGAAAAAGGACCTCCAGAACAGAGGCCAATCCAAGTCTGCGAAAGGGAGTCTCAGAGAGACCGCTCCTCCACAAGCCCCAACCATCCTCGATTGGAAGAGACTTCTACAGAGGAAGCCACACCACCGGAATAAGCCCAGGCACGACGGGAATTCCTAACCCGAAGGACGGAAAAAGCAAGACCACATAAAGATGAAGGGAGTTTCGACACAATCCACATACGCCGCTCCTAGCTGATTGAAACCTCCTCCATCAGCGGAGCCGCTAGGCCGGAAGGAGACCTAATCGAAATTAGGTCTGACGGTCGATTAGTCGTGAGGCGAGTTGAGGGTTTGAGCACCTCCCCAAACGACTGCTCTTTGCCATCGATAAACAGAGACCTGACGACGGAGAGACCCAAGAACTCAGGCGCGGCTGTCACGAAAAGAGTATCTTGATATCCTTTGAAACTGCACCGATAAGACAAATCCGAGCTCATTCGCAATGCCACGACTTGATGTTTATGAGGTCCTGCCGTGTTCTCGACCGTCATGTCACGTGATATATATCGAATACTTAATAAATATCAACATGCAAAACATAAATTATACAATATAAAAAGTTTAATAAAATGTTTTTATATGATTTATGATATACCGAACGTGGCAGCATGGCCGGCTCAAAGGGAGAGACAGGTGGTGCGACGTCCACATGCCCCATCATGTGTCCCAATAATTAGGGGTCCCAATTTTTTTTTGTTTTAAATAGTTAAAAATATGTAAAAAATTAGTTAAAATTATGTTAAAAAACAACTAAAAATAAAATAAATAGGGCCTATAATTTTGTTGTTTAATTTATTTTACGTTTAAGTAACAAAATATGTATTAAAAAATTATATAACCAAAAAAACCTTTAAAAATCAAGTTTATGGAGTCCAAAATTTTGTTTTTGCCCTTGGGCCTATAAAAGCTTTGAGCCGGCCCTGCGTGGCAGATCCATAAGTAGTGGAACCATCAAGTGTTATTGGTGATGATTGTACGATCCATACCATCACCAACTAGCATGATGTTTTTCATGTCTCTATCTATTTCGATTTTCTCGTTATAAACACCCGCTTTTATGTAGATTATCGCTCTATGCGACCGACTTTTACCCATTCTTGAAACTGCGGCTAATGCTTATTTTATTGACCGATGAGTCGCTGAACCATCCTTAGCCACCACGAAATCCGCCCTTGGCTTTGTTGGATTCCACGACACTAACATTCCTCCGCTC